CACGGCCGAAGAATTTGAGGTGAAGTGGACACTACATATGACGCTGTAAGGAGAAGGTCCACCCCAACCATTTATCGTTGTTTTCACGGCTTTCGTCCACTGACGTAGCACCTTCGGATCGTTTGGAAAAGTGTGAATACTTACACTATGACTATACGTATTACTGCAACCGCCCACAACTCAACGTTTAACCATCATAAACGTTTGTTCTGAAAACAACTTCTAAAAACTCTCTGTGACAGGTCAAATGCATTTGCATTCTAATTAGCCTTGTAATTTACTTTGCGCATGCGCAGTGGTGCTCAACTTGACATCCAGTCAGTTGGTCACTGAGATTTGCAGCGTGAGCATCGCTTTGAAACCACTGAGGGACGACAACCCATGCAGTATTTCCCCATCTACTTTCCACGTTTCTGAATTCACTTTCGGTGTGTTTGCGTGTAAAAAGAAACTAAGTAATTATATAGGGCGTCACTGAATTGTACTGGTTGGGGTTTCAGTCGTGTTAACTTTCATAGTTGCTCATATTGGAAATTAAAAGAACGCATGGTGACTTCACATCTGCCTGGTGTCATATTTTCTGCGTTACATCTCTATCTCAAAAAAAAAAAAAAAAAAAAATTGACAAAAAAAAAAAATGCCGATCGAAAAATGTATATCGTTTAAAAGTATGTTGAATGACGCAGTGTTATAAAAGTACAGCTCAGGAGTATGGCTTCCTCTCATATTTTGGCATTTGGTGGCGGACTTTCGGCGAGAGTCGGAAATCCGGAAACAGTTGACCGTTTCAAGATAGGTGGGCGTGGCTACAGCACGAGATATATCTTAAATTTACTTGGATAGGAGTAACCATTTTGAGAAAAAAAATTAATAACTGCCCACTTCAGTAGAACACGGATCTAAAATAGTTAACGTGAGGGTGGGCATTGCACAGGCACTTTAAATTACATTATTACGAAAATAAAAACAATTGAAATGCCGAAAAAAATTTAGTTCTTATTTAGTTTTCTTGTAACACAATTAATACGCAAATTAGACTATATATTTAAATTATCTGCAAATCTCAAAAAAAAACATTACACATTTTTATTACACAAGTTTGAGGGCGCTAGACTTACTAAAGAGAGTAAAGAATACTTAGTTACAAAGGATGATGGGGTTACAGTAATTATACAATCAAGCTTACCTGTAGACATTGTAGAAAGTATGCGGGAGAGTAAAACCATATGAACCAACTGAAAATAAACACAAACATTTGTCATTAAAATAAACAATGGGAGCAGTATTAAAGAATGCATTATATACATGTATCAATGCATCGCAACATCTGATGAAGCTTCCATGCACGGGTAACAACAGATGAACAGTACATTGAATTTGTAGCATACACACCTCGTGTACAGTGCATTTGGCCTCTCCATTGAGTCTATAGCACACACACCTAGTGTACAGTACATTTGGCCTCTCCATTGAGTCTATAGCACACATACCCAGTGTACAGTGCATTTGGCCTCTCCATTGAGTCTATAGCACACACACCTAGTGTACAGCACATTTGGCCTCTCCATTGAGTCTATAGCACACACACCTAGTGTACAGTACATTTGGCCTCTCCATTGAGTCTATAGCACACACACCTAGTGTACAGTACATTTGGCCTCTCCATTGAGTCTATAGCACACACACAGTGTACAGCATTTGCCTCTCAATTGAGTCTATAGCACACACACCTAGTGTACAGTGCATTTGGCCTTTCCATTGAGTCTATAGCACACACACCTAGTGTACAGTACATTTGGCCTCTCCATTGAGTCTATAGCACACACACCCAGAGTACAGTGCATTTGGCCTCTCCATTGAGTCTATAGCACACATACCCAGAGTACAGTGCATTTGGTCTCTCCATTGAGTCTATAGCACACACACCTAGTGTACAGTACATTTGGCCTCTCCATTGAGTCTATAGCACACACACCCAGAGTACAGTGCATTTGGCCTCTCCATTGAGTCTATAGCACACACACCCAGAGTACAGTG